TTTATGCATTCATGGTTGAATATTAATTATCACCGAGATGGGGTTGAACCGATTAAAATACATGGAGGAGAAGGAGGGGCAAAAATGGGGAAGATAAGAGAGGGAAAGAAGAGAAACGGAAGGAGATGGTGAAGGAGAGAGTAACAGGGAGATACAAAAGGTAGAAAACCAGTCAAATTTTAAAAATATATAAATTTTGAAAAAAAAAATGATGATGTGGCATTGGCCCCATAAATTGGTCCAGTTCTATGCGTTCATCCTATCACCACCCGTTTTCCAATAGATAGCATGTAAATCCTGAATATTGTTTATAGAATAGGATCCAATTGCACTTTGTACCATATTTTCATCGACAATTAAATGCAGCAAGCGGACAGGTGGGATTGGGTTTAGGTTGGGTCTACTTGGACTTGGATTTTATCGGGTCATGAGTTAACTCATGGTTTAAATCTTTTTTGTTATTTTGTACCATTAACTACACTTTTTTATATTGATTTATTAAAATTAAATGAAAGTAATTTTGAACTAAATGTTATAAAATAAGTATATATTTTAAATCTTGATTATCATATTTGTTTCTATTTTTTTAAATTATTATTGTTTGGAATATAAGTGACCCCTCTAATACTTATATAAATTCATAATTAATATGATACAATCTAATATAAGTTATTTTTTAAACAAATAAGAATTACCATAATAAATTTGGATGATTGACATCAATCATAAAAGGAAAATGATGCACTTTAAAGTCTATTTTTTAACCAAACAAAAAATCTTACTTAAAAAAAAAAAAAAAAATATTCATCTAAGTAATTTATTTTAAACTGCATCAGATAAATATGTTCATTGTTGCAAAATATATTCATTAGATTCATTAAGAATATATTTTTTAGTAATGAATATATATATTTTTGCCTATTTTATTGAAAAATGGTGCATCATAATTTAGTTTTCTAAATTTTAATATTATATTAGATTTTTTAAAATTATATTTATACATTATTTTGTTTTAAAAAATCATCTAATAAAAATATTTTTAAAAATAAACAAATCAAATAGGTTAACCCATAAATCCATAAATTGACCCATACATGACCCATGACTTATTCAGGTTGATTTAAACAGGTCTCGGTTTCAATAATAACTAACCTTAACTCACTTTTTCCAGGTTAAATTAATATCAGATAACGACGTGTTATATACTTTCCCTTATCTGATTCCACGTTAATGAAAGTGAGTTTTGTAGTTGTAGAGGACTGGGAGATAGAACTGGGGGATACTTTGGATCTTGAGTCTTCACTTCGACTATCCTGCAAGGCCCCGAGGTTGGTACTCGGGGTAGACACTCCGATGCTTAAGTCAGCAATAGTCAGAGCTACTAGTTATGGAGCAAGAGTAAGAGCTGAGTTCGAGGTTGATTTCCGATACCTTTCAGAGTTGAATCCTGGGGTATTTATAGGCCTTCAGGGGATGTCCACGTGTTGATCCTTCCGAGAAACCTGGGCAACGCGTGTCAAACATCGTAGGTACTTCTCATGGGGGGTTTGCATGTGTACAGAACTACTGCGGAGCAAGAGCAGAGGGGACGAACTCGAGTCCAACTGAGCTCGTCGTCCTTCAATCGAATCGAGGTAGCTGGATGTTGGGGGCCGCTCCTGGTGTCCGAGGTCGTGCATCTTGGGCAGCTACGAAGTACGCGACTTCGGACTGGCAACATGCTTCATCTCATGACCTCTGACTGCCTACGTACCTCTGATACCTCATGACCTCTGTCATGGCACATACCTCTGATACCTCATGACCTCTGTCATACCACATACCTCTGATGCCTCATGACCTCTGTCTACCACCACTACACTATTCCCCCCCACGAAGTCATTCACTTGTGAATGATGCGGGAGTTTGTGTTGGCCTTGAGGTAAGGGGTGGATATCAGGGCATGGAGTTAAGGAGTAGCATGACACGTGGTCATGGGAGACGGCCGAAGTCGAAGTGAAAAATATCATTACACATGGTCATAGGATACGGCCAGAGCCGAAGTAAAAAATATCATGACACGTGGTCATGGGATACGGCCAGAGCCGAAGTAAAAAATATCATGACACGTGGTCATCGATACAGCCGGAGCCGAAGTAAAAAATATCATGACATGTGGTCATGGGATACAGCCAGAGCCGAAGTAAAAAATATCATGACACGTGGTCATGGGATACGGCCAGAGCCGAAGTAAAAAATATCATGACACGTGGTCATCGGATACGGCCGGAGTCGAAGTAAAAATATCATGAGTAAAGATTATTCGGGAGGTATTTAATCGTGCAATTCCTTTGGAAGAAGGTTGAAGTGAACGGAGGTAAAATAAAATAAAATAAAATGTAATAAAATGATTTAATCGAGGTTGACAGCTGTCCTCGCGTGCCGTGCTGTAATAAATGATGTCAGGAATAACTGCCGAATTCGAAAGGACGCGATCGTGGCCGTTAAATGTGGGCGATCGTGACCGTGAAAACGGGGGAGAGGCTGGGTATAAATAGCCAGCCTTAAGTTATTCATAATTTTACCTAGCTCAATTTGTAGCGAAGCCCTGTTGAAATCGCGAGAGCACTTCGTCATCCAAGCTGACAGTTGCAGAGATCATGATATTTGCTAGCATTTGCTCAAGTGTTAGACTTCGTTGCAGAAAACCAGGTAACTCTGAGTTCTACCTCGACCCCTTGTAATGTTTTATTTTATTAGCTTAGGTAAGGGGGGTTAGGCACTCAAGTAGGAAGGGGGGGAAGTAAAAAATAGAGATTGTAGGTAATGCTGATTACTGTTGGTGACATACTTATTGTAGTGAAGACTGATAGCAGAGATGTCGTCTGAAGAAACGCTAAGTGTTGGAGGGGAAGAAGGGGTGAGGGACGTGACTTCGAGCTCGAGTAGGGGAAGTGGGGGTAGGACCTCAGTTAGTGGGGGAAATGGGGGTAGGACCCCGGTTAGTGGGGGAAATGGAGGTCAAGAGGGTAGCCTTGTCCCAACCAACATTTTAGAGGTTGGTGACAATCGGGGAAGGTGTTATGACGAGAGTGACGAGGTGGTGGGGGAGGTGGTGGGGTATGAGTCGTGCTGGAGGTGCAAGGGGGAGTTGGGGCACTTAGTGGAGAACTATAGTATCCCACCCCATGTGCTGGTAAGGCCAACAGGAGGTGAGGAGCGAGTGTGTTCGGCTCTAAAAGACCATTGGATGCCCTTGTACGTGCACTACCTGACAGCTGGGCTCCGATTCCCAATTCCGGAGTTGCTAGTAGCGCTGCTAAAGAAATACGGGTTGGGGTTAACGCAGCTCGTCCCCAATGGAGTTCGGTTGGTAGTGGGATTTTTAGTGTACTGCCAACTTCGTGGGGTGCGAATTCCAACTGTAGATCTATTTAAATATTTCTTTATAATCAAGGGGGGTAGTGGGAAGGAGAAGAGGTGGTTTTACTTTACATCTTGGGTAGTTGGAGGGAGAAGTAGGAACCTGTTCACTACAGGTCTTTCCTCCATTAAGGGGTGGAAGGAGATGTTTATCTTTGTGGATGACACGGAGTGGGGGAGGGGGGATAGGGAGGTAGAGGAGCTGAGTAGGTGGAAGGGGAAGAGAAGAAATCCGAACCAATACCGGCTGGGGGAGGTGGAGAAGGACGAGGTGAAGAGGTTGGAGAGGGGTGGGGGGGAGCTAGCGAACATAATGTACCTCACCAATCCAGAGGTGGTGGAGTCGTCTGGAATCTATGGGAGGAGCTCGTTGAGCAGAGGTTTGTGTTAATTGAAGTAGAGTTTTTTGTAGAGTAGGAGTCTGATTGCAATTTTTGACTTCGTTTGGTTTTGCAGAATAGATGAATCGTTTGAGAGCTGGGGACAGACCAGTACGACTTCCGGAGAAGAGGTCAAGGGCATCAGCCTCGGGTGCTCAAGAGGAGCGAGTTGGGGGTGGGGCGTCAAGGCTTGCAGTTGAGGTGGGGCCCAGCTCTGAGCCCAGGAGGGGTGTAATTGAGGAGGTCGTCGCTCGAAAGAGGCCAAGGGTGGAGGAGGTGCAACCTCTGCAGATTGAGGCCCCGGTCGAGTTCGTATCTCGGCCAGCCCCAGTGCAGATTGACCCGGTACTTCGGGAAACTGAGGTGGTGGTGCCTGGTAGGGGGAAGAGCTCCGTTCCTTACCCTAGGCAGGTGGCCAGCTTCTACGATTCGGGGAGGACGGCTGCAAAGCGCTTCATTAGCGCCCACTTCCCCGAGGTGGACCTGCAGAGGGCGAAGGATGAGGTGGCTGCCAGTGGGGGGTCTGGGGTAGTTCGGCAGGCCTTGGAGGTAAGCTCCTACTTTAGTTTTTAGTTTTTAGTTGTTTTTTTTTTTTTTTTTAACTGAGTTCGGCCTCTATGCAGGTCGCAAATTTGGTGAATGCAATGGCGGTTGATTCATTCGACTGCCTTCAAGAGCGGATTGCCTTGGTCAAAAAGAATGAAGAACTCAACCGCCAGAAAGAGGAGGCGGAGAAGAACTTCGGTGAACTGACCTCGGAGCTGGAGAAGGTCAGGGAGGAGTTGGCCAATTCCAGGAGGGCTGTCGAGCTGGAAGAGCAGAAGAGGAAGAAGTGCGAGGAGGCACTTGCAAGGAGGGAAGGTGAGCTGGCCGAAGTGAAAAAGGCAGCTGAGCTGGCGGTCCACAATTCTGTGGAGGAGCACGTTTTAGACTTCGTCAAGTCTGCCACGTTCGTCGAGGTGGTGGACCTCTACCGCTTGCCAACGCTGGTAATGGCCTTCTCTGATTGCCATAAGAAGGTGAAGGTGCAAAATCCAGAGGTGGACGTGACAAGCATCACTTTTGGACCTGAGGAGGCGGGGGTAGAGGAGAACGGGGATAGCAAGACAGCGGAGTTCCGCCCTGAGGTTAAACTGACTTTGGAACGGGACGAGGCTGGGAAAACTATCCTCCCACCGACGTTGGACTTCGAGTTCGTCGCCGTGGACGAGGAGGAGGCCAAGGTGGCACCGAGAACTGAGGTGGCAGACAACATACGGAATGAAGAAGTGGACCAACAGCTCCAGATCATTGATTGAGCTTAGCCAGCTCACCCTTTGTAATTTTTACAATTTTTAGTATATGTAAAGAACAATTTGTATTTCAATTGAAATGAATGAATTGAAATGTTGGACATGTATGGTGTTTATTGTGATATTGTTCATTGAAAACTTGTAACGAACTTAAAAATAATATAGTAGATCAAAAATACTAACTATTTGACCTCGGATAGAAAGAGATCAGAAATGTAACTTTAAAGACGAGGTAGAAGTCGACATGAGAGCTCGAGCTCAGTTGATAAGAATTTGAATAAAATGAAGCTTTATTATGGATAAAACTTCTTTAAATTATTTACATTCCAAACCCTAGGTATTCGTTTACCTTCAACATCTACAAGTATGTAAGCGTCGGGGTGTGGGACTTCGGCTACTACATATGGGCCTTCCCAGTTGGGCGCGAGTTTCGAAGCCGGTGAGTCCTGCCTTTCTGAGGACGAGGTCACCAACTCTAAAGGTTCGAGGTCGGACTCGTCTATTGTATGAGTTAGCCAGCTTCTGTTTGTATGCTAATGTCCGAAGTCGAGCTTCCTCGCGGACTTCGTCCAAAAAATTGAGGTTTTCTCTGAGCAACTGCTCATTTCGAGTTGTGTCAAAATGGGTCACTCTTAGGCTTGGGACACCCATTTCGACAGGGATGACTACCTCAGTCCCAAAAGCCCAGTGGTAGGGCGGTTCGCCTAATGAGGAGCAGTTGTGATTTTAGGGTTCATTTTATATAGCGAGTAATGACATCAGAGTGAAAAAGTAGCTAAGTTACGTACTTGTGGCTGTGCGACTTGTAGTCCGGTAGGCCCACAGAACATTGTTGAGCTCGTCCGCCCACTTGGCTTTGACTTGATCTAGCATGGGCTTAATTCCTTCTAGGATGGCCTTATTGACAGACTCAACCATTCCATTTGCCTCAGGATGATAAACAGAGGTGAACACCAATTTAATCCCATAATTGGAACAAAAGTCTTTGAATGAGGTGTAGTTGAACTGAGGTCCATTGTCGGCGACAACTTGATTTGGGATCCCATATCTGCATATGACCGAGCTGAAAACAAAATCTTCAATCTTTCTCGAGGTCAGGCTAGAAAAAGGTCGGGCTTCTACCAATTTGGTGAAGTAATTGACTGCCACGACTAAGTGTGTTACGCCCCCTGTTCCCTTCACAAAAGGACCTAGGAGGTCAATGCCCCATTGTGCAAAGGGCCACGGTGCCACTAAGGTGGTGAGTTCCTTTGCTAGTTGGTGGGTGAGATGTGTAAAGAACTGGCACTTCGGGCATTTTTGGACATGCTTTTTGGCATCTTTTTGCATGTGTGGCCAGTAGTATCCCTGCCGAAGTACTTTGTGAGTCAGGGCCCGAGCTCCGACATGACTCCCACATACACCCTCATGCACTTCACGAAGTGCATACTGGGTCTCATAAGAAGTTAAACAATGAAGAAGGGGGAGCGAGTATGACCTCTTATATAGGGTACCATCCACCAAGATGTATCGAGATGCCTTCCTTCGCAACTTCATCTCCTCTTGTTTGTTAGTTGGGACAGTTCCATCCTGGAGATAAGCTTTAATGGGATCGGTCCAGCTGGGGGCTTCGGGGTCGGTACTGACCTCCATCACCTGCGACCTCTGGAAGCTTGGTTCGTCTAGGACTTCGACAAAAACTGACCTCAGTTCACTTGAGCAGTCGGAAGCTAACTTTGATAGCGAATCAGCATGGCCATTTTCGGACCTCAAGATTTTGGTGAGTTGAAATCTTTCAAATTGGCTTTTCAACTTCAGAACCACAGCTAAGTACTTGGCAAGGGTGGAATCTGTGACCTCGCATGTAGAGTTGACTTGGTTGACTATGAGTTGTGAGTCACTGTAAACTTGCAAGGATCTGACCTTCAACTCAGCTGCTAAGCGAAGTCCGAGAAGAAGTGCCTCATATTCGGCCATATTGTTTGTTGCTTCGAAATTAAATTTCAGGGCATGCTCGCTTTGAAAGCTTCCTGGCCCCATCAACACTGCTCCGGCCCCTGACCCTCTACTGCTTGAGGACCCATCCACATAGAGGGTCCATTGGTCGGCTTCAGAAGCGACGGTTTCAGAGTTTGAGGTGCATTCGACGATAAAGTCTGCCGAGGCTTGAGCTCGAATTGACGACCTCTACTGAAATGTTATCTGAAATTCCCCCAACTCCACTGCCCATTTGATAAGTCTGCCCGAGCATTCCGGCTTCTGCAAGATCTGTCTGAGGGGTTGGTCAGTTAACACCACAATGGGGTGAGCTTGAAAATAGGGTCTCAATTTTCGTGCAGTGGTGACTACTACTAAAGCTGCTTTTTCTGCAATGGAGTACCGTAGCTCAGCTCATTGTAGAACCTTACTGGCATAGTAAACCGGCTTCTGCTATTTGTCTGCCTCTCTGACTAAGACCGAGCTTACTGCCGCGTCTAAGATTCTGAGATAGAGGTAAAGGATTTCGCCTTCTACAGCCTTGGTTAGCAGAGGTGGTGAGCCGAGGTAGTACTTAAGGTCATTGAAGGCGGTTTGGCACTCTGAGGTCCATTCGAACTTCTTAGGTTTCCCTGCTTCGTCTTTATGGGCCACAGATCTTAGGATTTTGAAGAAAGGTAGACATTTTTCTACAGACTTTGACACAAACCTGTGCAGAGCTCCAATTCTCCTAGCTAGGCGCTGCACATCCTTAATTGAGTTCGGGGGCTTCATCTCTTTTATCGCCTTGATTTTCTCAGGGTTGACTTCGATCCCTCTCTTGGAGACCATGAACCCGAGGAATTTGCCGGATTCAACACCAAAGACACACTTGGCTGGGTTCAATCTCATGCGGTGTGTTTTGAGGTTGTTAAATGTTTCTGCCAGGTCAGTTAGGTGGTCCCCTGCCTTGAGGCTTTTGACTACTATGTCGTCAACGTAGACTTCCAGATTTTTGCCTATCTGAGCTCGGAACACAATCGTCACCATCTTCTGATATGTAGCCCCAGCATTCTTAAGCCCAAACGGCATCATTACATAGCAGTAGATCTCGTCACCTGCGTAGAAAGAGGTCTTGACCTCGTCTTCGGGTGCCATGTGAACTTGGTGATACCCAGAGTAGGCATCCAGAAGGCTAAGCCTTTCATTTCCGGACGCAGTTTCCACCAGTTGACCTATGCTAGGCAAAGGGTGGTAGTCCTTGGGGCAGGTGTCATTCAAATTTGTGTAATCAATACACATTCGCCATTGGCTGTTCGACTTCTTGACCAAGACGGGATTAGCAACCCATTCACAGTAGTCTACTTTTCTTACAAACCCGGTTTGCAGGAGTTTCTGTACTTCTGACTTGATGGTTTCCAACCGCTCTCCGCCGAACAGACGTCTTTTCTGGGCTATGGGCTTCTTCAAGGGGTGAGTGCTTAACTTGTGGACCGCAACCGAGGTGGGTATGCCTGGCATATCAGCCGAGGTCCAGGCAAACACGTCTCTGTTTGATCTCAGAAAGTCAATGAGCTCTGCCCGGTCTTTGGAGTTCAGCTTCGTGCCGATCTTTGTCTTTTTAGTGGGATCATTGTCGTCAAGCTGCACCTCCTCCACCTCTTCTGCCGGAGTGGCTCTGGCTTCGCCTTCAAGTCTGTTATCCAACAGTTCCACACCCATTACTTGCTGTGTGGCTGGGACTTCAAGCTGAGTTGGCTCTGGGTTTGCCACTTATTTGTCCCTCCGAGGTTGGGAGACTGACGTCATGTAGCAGTGCTGGGCTATCTCTTGATTTCCCCTCAACGCTGCCACGCCCATGGGGGTGGGAAATTTCATGCAGAGGTGGGAGGGTGAGACAACTGCCCTAATTTCAGTTAGGGTTGGCCTTCCGATGATGATGTTAAAGGATGACGCCATCTTTACTATCAAAAACCGAACTGAGGGGGTTACATAGGTTCGACCTGAGCCAAATGCGACACTAAGTTTGAGGATTCCTTCCATAGGCACTGGTTGATTGTTGAAGCCGTAGATGGGGCCGTCATACTTCTGTAGAAGGGCAGGGTCGAGGCCAAGGCTTTCGAAGCAGTGATAGTACATGATGTCCGGAGCACTTCCTATGTCTACAAGGACGCGCTGAACTTCACAATTATTGACCGTGACCGAGGTGACCAGCGGATCATTGTGTGGTGTGACAACACCATCAAAATCAGCGGAACTGAATGTTATGGGTTGATTCTTCCAGTCTGTCTCATCAAATTTTCTTTTTTGAGCCCGGTTGGGATGCTTCACCTCTTGCACATACAACTTCTGCTGCTTTGAGCTCGTCCCTCCGGCTTCGAGCCCTCCTGTTATCATGTGAATGACGCATGAGGGCGGAGGGAGTGGAGGTGGTGCTTGTTGATATCCAACTCCAAGTCGATTGTTTGCGTCTCGAGATGATTGAGGTCGTCCTTGTTCCCGAACAAACTTGAGTTGGTCCTTGTTGGAGACATACTCACTTAGCAACCCTTTCTGAGCTAAACCCTCAAGCTCGGACTTCAAGCTGTTGCATTCCTTCGTGGTGTGCCCGTGATCCTGGTGGAAGTCACAATACCTGCTCTGATCTCTTGAGGCGGGTGAGCTTCGCATAGGAAGAGGCCTTCTGAGCTCCATTTTGTTTTTGATTTGCATTAAGATCTGTGACCTCGGCAGGTTAAACGGAGTCCAAGCAACTTGCTTTGCCATAGGCTGCGGGGTAGGTACCGAAGGTCTGTCCAGCTTAGGTGGGAAGGGGCCCCGGTATTATGTAGGTTTAAATCTTTTCTTGTTCTGTCCTTCATCTCTCCAGATCGGAGGTCTAACCTCTTTATTTGGAGCTGGTTTGCCAGACAAAGCATATTCCTCGGCTTGGATAAATTTCCAAGATCTTTCATTAGCTTCATCAAACATGGAAGGGGCATGGTTTATGAGGCTATCTTGGAACCTCTCATGCTTGAGGCCCTGGGTTAGTGCAGCTAACCCAACAGCTTGGCTAAATGAGACGATTTCCAACACTACATCATTAAATCTATTCATGTAGTTCTTTAAGGATTCACCTTCTCTCTGGGCCACCCGCATAAGCTCGAACGTCGTTTTCTTGATCAGCCGGCGACTGGAAAAATTCGTGGCAAAGGATGTCGCCAGTTTGGTGTAAGAACTGATCGAATTCGGTAGCAAGCTGTAATACCAAGTCCACGCGTTTCCACGCAGGGTAGAAGGGAATATTTTGCACATCAAAGCGTCTGAGGCATTTTGAGCTTGCATTACGGAGTAGAATGCGTGCAAGTGATCATCAGGGTCCTTGGTACCGTCATATGTCTCGAATTGAGGCATCCTAAACCCAGGTGGGTAAGGTTCATGAATGATGTTGGTGTTGAGGGGGGTAGGGATAGGAGCAGAACTTGGCTGAGCCGGGATTTGGGGACTTCGGTTGTCGGGCACCACTTGTTCTAAGTGCGGTTGTTTGGGAAGATCTGAGACAGCCGGTTGGGATGGTTGCGAGGTTGAGGTGCCACATGAGAATGAGCTTGAGACTCATTGGGGGGTGGGGCGGCAGTCCGAGCTGGTGAACTGACATTTTGTTGAGGCTGGTGGTTTTGTGCTTGATTGGTGGGATTTAATAAGGTGATGAGGGGGTCACCCGGGTTATCTCTAGCTAACAGTTGGGCGAGCACGAGTTGGAACACACCGAACTACTGTTCCATGGCATTAAGTTGGGTGGCTATGGGGTCGTTCGGGATTCCTACTGAGTTTGGATTATTTTCCCCGGTCTCCTCT